GTCACAGAATCAACAGATCATGTCTTCAATCCCACCGCAGGTATCACTCGCTGTCCCTCACCTTCGCCTCCATTTCCATCACAAACAGTGGCCGCGAATGACAGACAACCCCTCACTTTGACTCTCATTTGTCTGACTATCGATAGGACATCACTTGACGAGTACTCGACTGCCATTTCACTAGTCTTTCTCTCAGATCTCAGCTCTCTTTTGGATCCAATAAAAGTACTCGAAGTCGAGGCCATTGAGAGGGCGATCATTGAGTTACAACCGAAAGTTAAACCCCAGTCCTCGACGGCTGCCATCACTCCGGCGGACATCGAGAAAGAAGGCGACAAATGTCATGAGTTTTGATGAAAGACCACAAGAAAGTGAAATCCATTTCACAAAACGGCGGCGTTTAGGACACCAAAGCCGAGGCCACAGACACTCCCGGAGCCGACACTAAGACCGACCCAACAGTCAGTTCAGTAAAGAAATGATAAAATAAATGAAATGTTTACACATTTGACACCAATTTTTAAGAATAATAGTTGTTTTAAGCGAATCACAAAATGCACACATAATTTGTCGTTTTTGATGAATCAAATACAAAACATATAATTAAATTATCAATTGATTATTAATTGCCTTTAAATAAATAAAATATGTTAACTTGGTGATCAGTTTAATGGGTGATATGCCACTCTGGTCAGGCAGTTATACAACTTTTGCTTATTATAATAAGCACCGTGAAAATCGTAAAAAGTGCCAGGATATATTTTACGAATCATTCAACAAAACTTTTGCACAAATAGTTTATAAAAACTTTTTTATGACACAAAAAATAGCTTATATTTGTACTGTATTTACACTGTATTTGTTAATTAGTTAAAAAGTTTAGCAAATATTAGTTTTACATATATTTTAATAATTATAATATAAATAATTTCTAAATTTCTAATTGAAATTAATTTCTAATCAATAATGGGATTGTGAGGACACAAGTGATTGTCTTCGAGTGAATTACAACTTTTTTGGCAAACTTTCAGCACTTATTGTATACGAGAGGGAGCTTTACATACAATGCAATGAATGTTGAAATTCATGTGTTTTCGTCTGTTTTTGTTTACATTTTTATCACATGTTTTCACAATTTATAACTAATTTATATTTTCATTAAATTTACCACATTTTCATCGTTTGGTTTATATATCACTATAAATACAAAGCAACCAAATGTCAAACCAATACGAGTGGAGTGAATACCAAACAATTAAAAGCAAATACGGTTTAATATCAATCATTAAAACGAGCCGTCATTTCATTTCAATTATTATCTCTTTTTCCCATAGATTTCAATGCAATTAAAAAATGCATTAATTGTTTGCAAAATATATTAAACAGCGTTTGTCTTAACAATGAATACATTGTGTTTACGAGTGTTTTGCGGAGAATTGCTATCCGTTTGCGATCCGCACGAGTCGTCCGTATTATCAAACATGTAAACCATTTACACAACCATTTCATACAAGTTTACCACTAATTCATTACAATTTGATATCACTTTTAGGCCAAAAAGTGTTTGAAAACTTTCTTTGAATTGAAATTATGTGATGTTATCAACGATAAGATGTCATCACTTATTGAGTGAGTCATCACTGATTTGAATGAATCGATTGATTGAATATTTTGTGATATATTTCAGAGAGAATTATCAGATATCCAGCGGTTATATAGTATTGCCGTTTAGACAACAAATTGAATCCGTTTTACAGATATTTGTCGAAAGCATTGAAATTCTTTGTAAATTTATCCTCATTTCACTCAACGCTTTCAGGTTTTCATTTCAATTGATTTTAAAATTTATATCAAATATAAATTGTTATATAAATGTATTGAACAGTCATTGCATTCCATGGCTTCGGAGCGGAAATCTTGCGCCACATTTCCTGATGATGTCGTCCTCATTATCACGACTCAAGTAAATCATTGATTTATAATTTACTTATTCTATAATTATTTGTATCCTTAATAGCGTTATATCGAAAGCTATTATAGTCTACATTTCAGACTTGTATTCGCCGTTATTATCACTAAAGGATGTCTTAAGGGAACAGAACTTGAATTATAAGGTATTTTAATATTTCTATCAACGAACACTAATTTACACTGTATTTAAAGGTCAAACCAATACTCCCGACTTCACTCGACCACTATTTGACTCAATTGGACATCAAATGCAGCAAAAATAGAGTTGAGACCAATACTAGTCAACAATTGGAAGATATTGGAGGTTTGACTTGTCTTTATATCAATGCTATTAAATGATCGATAATTTTATCATAAAATGTCTATTTTAGTGGCCATTCATAGGAATGGAGAGACAAATAGTGGAAAAAAGGTTGAAATTGTAAGCAATAAGAAGAATAAAAAGAAAAACAAGAAAAAAGAGAAGAAAACAAATAAACCCAAAGTGACAGCAAATACTTCATCTAATAATAAGAAACTGTCGGTTAATAACAAAAAACAGAGACAACAGAAACATAAATTCAAAAGAAAAACAAATTGATCATAATGTTTGCTGTTTATTCATTCAATGATTACAATGTTTGACACTAGCGTTACATTGAAATAAAAATTCATACATTAATTAAAATTCATTAACAAAAAAATACAATATCTAAACATGTATTGATGTATTGGCACAAAACAAATGACCACTACTTGTAGGCCTGAGCGCACTGATCCATAAATTGAGCCAAACTGATGTCGCGTTCGCTGATCCCATTGACATCGTGCGAAGATAGGGTGATATCAACCTTGTTGTAGACGTTGAACCACTCCGGGTGGTGATCCATGCGGTCGGCCTTCAGCGCCACTCGAGTCATGAAACCAAAAGCTTCGTTAAAGTCTTTGAACACGAATTGCTTTTTGATGGCATCCCTTCCCGACTCATCCAACGACCACTTGTTATCGTTGAGCAGCGGTTCCAGTTTCGTCCGCCTCTCCTCTTCAGACAGTTTGCTTCGTTTGGCAGACATTTTTCGGTCAACTTTTGTCGTCAGACGTGCGCTAAACGAGTGATTAATTTGTTTTGAAAGTCTTTGAATTGATTGAAATCTATGAATAAAGCCTTGAAAATGCATTAAAGATGAGACACAAACTGTTGCACAGAGTCTATGGATATGAGAGGCTGTCTGTCAAGTGTTGGCTCACTATATGTCAGATGCCTTCCGGCGTTATTGTCATATCATTTCTATTGGTCTTCACTTCACACACAAAACACAGACAACAAGACTAACGAGAAATCAATATGAGAGGCTGTCTGTCAAGTGTTGGCTCACTATATGTCAGATGCCTTCCGGCGTTATTGTCATATCATTTCTATTGGTCTTCACTTCACACACAAAACACAGACAACAAGACTAACGAGAAATCAAAACCAATCCTTGAAATCACCGCTAATTCTCAACAACAAAAATTGTTGACTAAAAAACACACAATTATTTGCAAATCCTATCGATTGTCTCAAAAAGCACTCAATTTATAACTGAATTCATTAATGAATGACTGAATAGAAAGAGAATATTCTGTTAGACACTAATCAATACACTAATTGTGTGTCAAAAGTGTATAACAACTGAAACGGCGATTACAAGCAATGCATTGTCTGTACAATAATTGTTATGCAATGTTTGTGTTATGCAATCAAAACAATACAAAACATTTGATTAACATTTAAAAGGCATTACAAAAAAATATACATTTATTTCGTTATTTATGGCATTCATTGAAACGTTTTCTGTGTTTCAGTGAAAACATAATCACGTGTTTTGCCTATCATTTGAATTTCACTTCTCTTTCCTTACAGTCATTCAAACGTGTCTTTCGTTTCAGTGATTGCTTTCGTCTCCACAAGAAGTGGACATCACTTCCTATAGGAACCAAAGG